GGTGGATGGAAGGTACCTTTGGTGGTGATCGACACACCAGTCTGTTCGAGGATCTTCGCAACGTTCGTACGGTTGGTAACGGCCCAGCGAGCCTTTTGCGGGAAGTCGTTGATCTCAATGAGGGGATGGGATGGGATGGTATGGAGAGGAGGGGAGGGGAGGGGCGGCGGCGGGTGCAAAGTGCAAAGGCAGACTAATGGCATCGCTGAGCCACCATCGCAACCACTACATCCAAACCCTGGCCAGCCCCAAGTAGTAGTTGACTATGATTGTGCCACAGTGCTGGGAGCCTGGAGGTACACGACACTGGGCGTTACTCTGGAGGAGAACGGGTAGAGAGTTGGTGGGTGTGTATGTACGTAGGTACAGTAGTAGGTAGGCATTGTTTCTTGTGTGTACGCCCTCTCACACCTCTCACCACACCACGCCCACGCCCACGCTGTCCCATCGCAGTGGAATTGGTAGGGTAGGCGCGGCCGGTGAATCCATACATAACCTACGTAGTAAGCAAGTCTAGAGGTGTTTTTTTTTGCATGATCAGGGACCAGACTTGTGTACATACATGCATACTACCTATGATACCCTACTGCGAATTAATTGTATACACGACTAGTATACAGTATCTTCCTATATACAGTACAAGACCCACGAGTTGTCTGTGTTGATCTTAGCGTATATGCTACAGACATTATGATCCACCCTACAGTAGTGGTATGGATGACACACTTGGGCCCTGGGCCCACGACTGTCAATGCCTACACCATCAGTGCTGCATTCGTCAACACTCGGCCTATTATCCTTAAGCCTACCCACAGAGTACGTATTCAATACGAGTAAATATACAGTGCACATGTCTACCACAGTAGTCGCGTCGTCGCTGGCTGCGCACTCAACACGACAGCAGCAAGACAACGACGTTTGACTAACCACCTGTAGCAGGCTTGAGACTCGACCATGTCATGTACTCTACAGTACACATTACCTAGTGTTGGCCCGTTTTGGCCCTCCTTGACTGTGCACCTCCCGCTTCCCAGCCTTCCAAGGCCAGCCTAGTCCGGGGCCGTCATCCTACTGGCTGGCTGCTCCACCACAGCTCCTTGCCGACAGCACTGTCCCAGTGGGTAGGTATGGTAGGCATGTACAGTACAATGCCAGCACAAGAGGAGGCATTCAGCGCTGGAGCGGCCCCTCTATCTATCCATACATAGGCCTCGTCATCTTCTCTCCTCACCTCACTCAAGGCTTCCAACATGGTTTCTGCACGGTCAACTCAACGCGACTTGCCTACTAGACTGTCACTGGATTCGGTATACTGTCACTGGATTCGGTATTACAGGTACTCCAGATACAACACCCATCTCGATCGATTTCTGGCAGGCCCATAGCTTGTGCATCGCTCCAACGAGAGCGGCCCCTGGCAATCCATGGGCGCTTGCATCCGGCCTGCATGCGAAGCTTTAGCCTGCACCAGCAAGCGGCATCTGCCGGGCGCTGGCGTCTCTATGGACCATCGCACGCAAGTCGGACCTCCTCCGAAAGCCGTCGCGCAAGAACCTTGTCTTTCTTGCGAGCGACTACACACATAGGTAGAGTAGGTACATGTGTGGTGTGGGCCCAACCCTCCGTGGCTGTGGTTATGGCTCGTAGCGCGCATTTCCAGCGCAGCGGCGGCCGCTTTTACGAGCCCTACCGTTGGGCGCTTCAAGTACCGGCGGAGAAGCGAATCACATCAGTGGACCTCAGCTGGCAGATCCTTCCCCCTTCCCACATTTCCAAGTCTATGGACTGGACTGCCCCTCCAACCACGGAACCGCCGTTCATCGAAAAATGACTGCGCCATCCCCCCATCCACACCTGTCAGTCCGACGTTGTGTTTCCCGTTGTTTCCCGTGCGTGCAGTGAACGGGTGCGAGGCAATGGGATGGGGGCAGGAGGGATCAAAGGAAGCTGCGGCTGCCTGGTCTGGTTCACCTGCATTCGCTCCTGCCTCCCTTTGCAACCAACGTTCAGGTCAGCAATTAGTAGATCAGGCAGCAGGCAGCGAACCCATCTTCTCTCGGGCCACCGCCAGCCAATCACGCAATCCCATCTCGGCATGCCGGCAACCCGAACCCTCCCCGGACGGACTACACCAACAGGGCGAATGGAACCACTGCTTTTCCTGCTTTTCCTGCTTTTCCTGCTTTTCCTGCTTTCCCCCCCTCTCCCTCTGCTCTGGGCATTTTGCAGATGAGCTCACACGGCTCGCCCATACGAAGAACAGCATCAGCAGCACCACTGGCCTGGCGCAGGTAGGTAACCAGTCTTGCTCATCGCTTCCGTTAGAACCCGTGCTGTTGTCGCACGTGGGCCTGCACTCTCGAACGTTGGTGCGGAGCCTTCGTCGACCTTTGCACCGCTCAGTTCTTTGGTCGCGCCTCACAGAAGAAAGCGCCATGACATGGTCAGCGGAAATCATGGACAGAAGCGACACGCTGCCTCGTCCACGTGGATCCATTCCAGCGGAGTGGACGCCCGTCTTGTTATTTCTCTTTCTGTGACCAACCAAACAATCGTTTCCATGCCGGGCAGTCGACTCGACCGGGCCAAATCTCTCTCTCTGCGCGGCTGTCCAAAAACTGGCTTGGTTGGCCTTGGTCACAGACAGTTTACATACAGAGGTACTCTAGTAGACTGGGCTAGAACTCCACGCTCCAGTCACACCTCTGTGTGCTACTGCGAGTGACTCGAATACCCAGACCGGCGGTACCTACCCTGTCCTCTCCTACGTAGAACAATGGTAGTGGAGAGCGCACTGTGACTCGCTGCCAACAGTCAGCCCAGTCTTGACTCCCCTGTCCGGCTGACCTATGCTGGTCTCGCCCATCCAATCACGTTTGCTTTTTTACTTCACTGGATCGCGGCTTTTGCTGTTGGCATAGACCGGACTGAAATCAAGAAAGGAGCAACGCAACAAAGCTGTTGCACAACGGTCCTTGGAAGTGTACTCGCACGATTCCTGCTAAGAATGAGACACGCCAGCCTGGGAAGTCTCGACTGCTCAGCCGTATACCTTCCAAGGGAAGCTCTGCTACAACCTCACACACATCACCCTGTCGTGTCAGCTCCATGTCATGAGTTTTAGACAGATTGATCTCGTATTCTCTCGACGTGTATTCAAATACGCAATCTCCCGACCGCAGGTCAGGATCTCAGCACTGTCCGCCAAACGTCTTTGCAGTACGACAGGAGTTACACATGGTGTCTTTAGGACTTTACTTCACACCTGGATGCATAGTATTGCTGTACCCAGGAAAACGGAGGCTTACACCCCAAGGGCTCCGCTCTACATGGGCTACAGCGAGTCGAATACAGTATACACATCATCGGGGTTGTCAAGCCCTTTACTCATGGGTCAAGACAATCTCTGGGGCGCAGGGGCGATAGAAGACAACGCTTGGAGCTGATACTCGAGGAGACAGGCCTGTAATACCATGGCTGGACCAATCTAGACTGGAACATTACATGCCACTAAGCTGATGTCTAATTGTTCAGCACAACAGCAGCATACTGTGGTACCAAACAAAACCACAACTAAAATTACAGTTTCCATAACGCATCCGCCGTCAGAACTCAGGTCAGCATGTCGCCATCTCCCTCTGTGTCCATTTGTAATCACCATCACGACCAATCTATCCGCTTCGGCATACATAGTCCCACGCTCGGCTAGTCATGTCTTTCAGACCGAGTGGCCACACCACGCACTGTCAAACCCGCGTCCCCAAGATACAACCTCGAGACTCCAGACATACCTACATGGTATATACACGTGCCTAAACTCTGTACCACGACATTCTGTAACCTCTCTCACGTCAGCCCACCATCCCGCTCTTTGGCTTTGCTCGTGCTGTGAATGTGCTCACTACTATCCATTCCACAGCCCCCCACTCACACCGTAGAGTTACGGTTTACCCTCCCAGCTCACACCCACTTTCCGCAGTAAGACAATGTCCCCACACTCTCACACTCTCACACCGTCTGCCCTTAGATTATTTCACTCATCACATCAGCTCGACATTTCCGCCCCATTCTCAGCCCAGCCTCCCAAGCGCTCCGCCATGTAGCATCCCTGTCACAAGCCATCTTCGGACTGCGGCGCGGTGAATGTGAAATTCCACTCGCGCTCTAACGTCAGATTGCCTCGGCTACTTTTCCTCACAGCCTGTGGGGTATGTGGCGGTGCTGGGGCTGCGTGGACGGACACTTCCTGGTGGTGGGTTGAGGGTTAGATACCAAAGTATGTAGCCTAGTCGAGGAGAACCTGTGGTGTGGAATGTCAAGGTAGATTGGCTCTGTGGGTACTATAATCCAGGCGTTTGTAGGCATCTAACTTTGAGACCCATTTGGGGGTGGGAAGATGCAGTGTATGGTAGGTGTTTGGCCATGTTTCATGTCTGGGTAGATAAAAGGCACTGGCATAACACAGTATCTAGAAGCATGGCTACAGCTAGGTAACTTCATAAAGGAAAAGCCAAGACACATTACACTGCGTGAAGTAGAGATGCTTACAAGACATGCGTCAGGAGAAAGTTTCCGGAAGTATTCTTGATGCGGTAAATTATGTGAAACTAATCATTATTGTACTCCTAACATGCTATCTCTAACCTCGATCCATCTCATAACAACATTCACGACCTCTAGGACGAGATCTCAACAATCGCCGGGCCGGCAACGGTAGTGTCGTCGCTGACAGCGGTGTTGCAGCTCGTGAGCACAACGTAGCTCTGGCCAGCAACACCCTTGGGCACAACAACCTCGTAAGCACCGTTCATCATCTTGACATCCACGAAGATGGGTCCAGTGACGGTGATGAAAGCAGCGTAAACAGTGCCCTCAATCTTGGTGTCCTTGACGCTGAGGGAAAGGGTAGAGCCAGTCTTGATGGGCATGGCAGTGGAAGTGGCGCTCAAGGTGGGGAACGCCTTGACGGGAAGAGGAGGGTTGCTGGATGGGCATCCAGTGATGAACTGTGCGGCCAGGGTGTAAACCTCGTTGTAGGACAATGGGTTGTCAAAGGGCGAGGGGAATGGCGCCTGTCCAACTGTGTTGCGCACATAGGACGAGTGCCTGGCCTCGACAGTCAAGATGGATCCCGCAGCCGTCAAGTACGTCTTGCTCATGATATCAGCGGCAGCACCCAGGTAGGCCGAGACACCGACGCCTTCGAGGACACTGGCGGTGGCAAGGAAGCTCTTGACATCAGTGTAGCCAAAGTTGTAAGTGCAAGCCTCGACTGGGGTTGCGCCGGCAGCCTTGAGTGCGCCGGTGAGGAAGGCCACATGGCTGGCCTCGTCGCTCGAGACGGTCTTGATCTTGTTGTAGTTGTCCTCGGTGAAGCCGGCGGCCTTGAAGTCGTCGACAGTGTACTTGGCCAGAGCATCGCGGTAGAAGGTGTCCTCGAGGTGCTCAAGAGTGAGGGCATAGTTGAGGATGACATCGTCGGTAGGGCCCTCGGCACGCTTGACGGGCGAAGCTGAGGCAATGGCCGCAAGGGCAGCAACGGAGAGGACAGATTTCATGATGAGAGAAGATGGGGAAGGGTAATTACTATTATGTGGTAGTGTAGAGTAGTGAAGTAGGAGTGGGTTTATGGAGAGACTGGTCCTTGTTGATTGAATCCTACCATCTGGCAAAAGGCCCACCCCATCTTATACCATGGACCAGAATGCCTCTAGACCATGGTACCCCTCATCTCCACACGCCTCTTCAACACTATTGTCACAATCTACACCAAATCCTCTCATTGCGATCTTCTCCTCCCGGGCCTATTCGCGGAGACCTCTCCATCCGAAAAACAGTCACTGCAAACCGCCAACCTGTAAAAAGATATTGCAACGGCCCGTAGCGCCAACCCAATCCCCATGTGAGCCTACCATCTCGATCGGACATATTTGTCATTCGTAGCCACTGCTCAACGAGGCACTCATCGACAACAGCCATCACCGTGCGCATGTGTTGGTGTACCACGGATACAGCGCCTTCCGACGCTAACGCAATAAGCTCATCTGTGACGTCGTAGACTAGGCTGAACAAGGGCAGAAACAGAACGCTTCACGGTGTGCTAGAGTGAAAAGGGAGGATCTGTGTAAACGGGCTTTGCCCTTCCTGGTGCACATCTTACTCATTCGGGACGACTGGTATGGAAGAGTGTAGACCCGGGGGAGACAACGTGGTGGGTTCGAAGACCTTGGAAGATCCTGCAGGTGTTTGGATGCACCGAGTCGGTTGCATCACTTTACGAAGGGATCGAGAAGTCGTTTTTAGTATGCCCAATGCTGAGTACCATAGATACCTACGTCAACCCCCCCCCCCCCCCCTATCGCGCACCCTACCACAAGCTCGCCTGCAAAATAAAATGAAATGCATCTATCCACCCCCAAGTCCCAGGCTTGTAGAACTCTCTATATGACAAGGCATCAAAGGGGATCACACTACCCTAGGTACGCGCAGATTAGACTGGGCCACTTGCCATGTTCACAGCCTAGTTCAGGGCAGTAGGGGAGAAGAAGAAAACAAAAACCCGCTCCTGGCCCTAAGCCTCAAACTATACCTAACCCTACTCCCACAAAGCTACACCAATTTCTTCAATAGCCGCCACGCCGGGGCTGCCTACATCCGACCTCTGGCCTGCTAGTCAGATGGACTGTCAATCACTGTCCTACTAGAGCTGGAAGTGTAATTTCACTTGTCCTTGCCGTCTGTTCAAAGGGCGGGCTCGAACTTGCATGGCAGGCTTGACATCGCTCCTCGCGACGGGAAGAAGGGTTCCGAAGTATGGTGGCTACGCGCTAGGTGGACATGTAAACCGCGGTAATTGTTGCGTTCAGGGGGTGTGAGGCGGGAGATGCTTGGTGAAGTGAGTGGTACTTAGTTGGCCAGGTTGAAGACATTTCCCCCCCTTTCTATATTGTTCACTCTGTGTACTTTGGTCTCCTGTCCTACTTGTCTGATCAGACTCATTCCTCCATCACAAAATCAAATAAGAAAAAAAGTTCAAGTCTTACCAGACCACCAATCCTTGTCAAGTCTTCATCATGCAACTATCCATATCCCTCCTGACTACGGTCCTTCTCACCGTCAGCGCAACATCAGCGTGAGTTCCAACCTTCCCCTTTAAAAACCCATCCCACGGCCCCGAAAATCTAATGCACGGGACAGTCAATCTCCCGCCTCAGCCCCAGCAATGAGCACCATAACCGTCTCTCCTGGCTGTCCCTCCGCCGCCCCGGCCGACGTCATGGTCACCCGTTCTGCGGTCGTTGTTCCCTCTTGTGCTGGAAACGAGTCAAAGCCGACGTTGATCAGTATGCCGGGTTATGGATCGAATATGAGTGCGACGGCTACGGGTACCGGAGGCGCTGCTATGTTTACTGGTGCTGCGGGCCGTGTTGATGTTGCTGGTGCGATGGCTGTTATGGTTGGTGGTGCGGTTGTTGCTTTAGTTGTTTAGATGCGTGGAGAGAGGACGGGTGCGGGGGAGGAAAGTGGTAATGGAAAGTGTTGATACCCTACTAGGTCGTTTTCAAAGTTGAATACAATCTTCCATCGTCTTCACCCCTACGTACACTGTTCACCTTACTTCACCGCACCTTTCCACTTTCCTCTGAGCACCAAATGCCACACTCCCCATCGCTCTACATATCGTCACCCTCTTCCATCCTCCTTGCCTCCTGTTCTCTCGCGTCTTTCCTCCACTTCTGCAACTGCAAGACTGCTTCCCGTCTCTCGTTCTCACTGGAACCATGATGGCGTAAGCGTTGGTCGAGTTCGGTCAGTACAACAGTGTCCTCTGTGTCGCATGTAGCAATTATTTCCCCTACCGTGGGGATCAAGGGCACGTCTTTGGTGATCTGACTGGGCTCACTGCCGGATGTGGGGTCTGTGTGCTGTGTGGCTTGGTCTACTGGTTGGGGACTGGGGGAGTAGACAGAGGAAGGAAGGGTTTCGAGGGATTTATTTGCTGGATCGGGTTTTTTGGAATCCACAACGAGCTCTTTGTTGAGATTGGAGGATGGGTCAGCTGGATTACCCTCAGACGAAGCCATGTCGGTTAATTGTGGTGTTTTACGTTTAGCAGAACTTGTATGGTGGGAAGGCGTTGCCGCGTAGCGATATATAAGTGGACGGTTGTTTGCTGCCTCTCGCAACTCTGAGATCATGTGTGATGAGATGGATTGTCAAGCACGAGATTTTCTGTTAGTACTACTGTCGTGCTTGATGTCACGTTCGTCGATGTGTTTGCCTTGACAATTAGTCATCTACATAGTGAGTCTCCCGTATATACCCAGCTGCCGTCTCAACTCTCATCAATTGAGACGGGTATATCAAGCGTGTCGCTAGGAGTAGAGTGTATTCATACATCACCAGGCAGTGGTGGTGACTTATCTACAGAAGGGAGGTGACGTCTTGGCCAGGATGGGTTTCGCTAGGGCCATTCGTGGTCTAACTTAAGGTTGACCCCACACAAATAGTCGAGTCCCTGAGCTACGGAGGCCAGATTTGGGTCTCCGACACGTCCACGCTGTCCTCGAACCACAACCCCATCTCGATTGAAAGTATACATCAGTTGCATTGCAGAGTGTTCATTGGACATCAATTGCCTCTGCCCTCCCCTTCCCCCCCCCCCTCTTTCTTCCTTTAGTCCTTACTTACCGTCTTTTTGTTGGGTTTCCATTGGAAAGTCGACAATCCCCAAAACTGCATTTGGACAGGTACGTTGAAGCTGCTCCTGATTGCCTGCGTGCTTGCTTATGCGCAGACGACATGGCCAACTGGGGTCTGTTATAGTAGCTAACCTGGCTGCAGCAAGCTTGCCTTTGATCCGTGGACCGTCATCAGCTAAAGATACCCCCTTCCCCCTCCCCCCCAATATGGCGCTCTTCGAAGCCAAGGTCAAATGTGTGCTCTCCGGAGACACGGTGGTCCTCCACAACATCAACAACCCCAAAGCGGAGCGCACTCTGAGCCTGGCTTTTGTATCGGCCCCGCGAATGAAGCGCGAGGGTGATGAGCCCTTCGCCTTCGAGTCACGCGACTACCTCCGCCGCCTGCTCGTGGGCAGGGTGGTGCGCTTCCAGGTGCTCTACAAGATTCCGACGGGCGCCAACCGCGAGTACGGCCTCATTGTGTTACCGAACAAGGTGGTGCTGCCCGAGCAGGCTGTCGCTGAGGGCTGGCTGAAGCTGCGCGACGACGCCGGCCGCAAGGAGGACTCAGACGAGGCTGCACATCTTCTGGAGCGTCTGCAGGTGGTTGAGGCCCGCGCCCGCGCCGACTCCAAGGGCCTATGGGCCGAGTCACCCTCGAAAATCCGCACGGCGAACGAGCTGGGCGATGCGGCCGCCTTTGTTGAGCAGCACAAGGGTCAGGACCTCGATGCCATTATTGAGAGAGTTGTCACCGGCGACCGCCTCATTGTTCGCTTCCTCGTCACGCCAACCGAGCATGTGCAGACCATGGTCCTCCTCGCCGGCATCCGCGCACCCGCGACGAAGCGCACGAATCCCTCGGACGGCAAGGAACAGCCAGCCGAGCCCTTTGGAGAGGAGGCACATCAGTTCGTCGAGACGCGCTTGCTGCAGCGTGGGGCCATGGTGCAGGTGCTTGGAACCACGCCGAATGGCCAGATCGTGGCTGATGTTAAACACCCTACCCAGGGCAGCATCACTCCCCACATCCTCAGAGCCGGCCTCGCGAAATGTACCGACCACCACACCACGCTGCTCGGTTCGCAGATGGCTGCGCTACGCCAGGCGGAGAAGGCAGCCAAGGACAGCCGCCAGGGACTCTTCCAAGGCCATGTGGCTCCTCGGGCCAACGTTGCGGGCGGCGATCTCGAGGCCGTCGTCAGCAGGGTCCAGAGCGCTGATACACTGTTTCTGCGTAATAAGGCTGGCGTCGAGAGACGCGTCAACCTGAGTAGTGTTCGCCAGCCAAAGCCCACAGATCCCAAGCAGTCGCCCTGGGTGGCAGAAGCAAAGGAGTTTCTGCGCAAGAAACTCATCGGCAAGCACGTCAGATTCCATGTCGACGGAAAACGCCCGGCAACCGAAGGCTTTGATGAGCGCGAGATGGTCACGGTTACATACCAAGGCAAAAACATTGGTTTACTACTCGTCGAGAACGGCATGGCCTCTGTGATCCGCCACCGACAAGACGACACCGACCGCAGTCCCATCTACGACGACCTCTTGATCGCCGAGTCAGCAGCGCAGGAGCAGAAGAAGGGTCTCTGGTCTGACAAGACTCCAAGCGTCAAGCAGTACGTCGACTATTCTGAGTCGCTGGAGAAGGCCAAGAGACAGCTCACTCTGCTGTCACGCCAGCGCAAGGTCCCCGCCATTGTCGACTTTGTCAAATCCGGCTCTCGCTTCACCGTGCTCGTACCTCGCGAGAACGCAAAACTTACCTTTGTACTGTCCGGTATTCGCGCGCCCAAATCAGCGAGGAACGCCGACGACAAGGGCGAGCCATTTGGCAAAGAGGCTCACGAATTTGCCAGCAGGCGATTGCAACAACGCGATGTTGAAATTGACGTCGAAGATTGCGACAAGGTTGGCGGCTTCATTGGCACCTTGTACATCAACCGCGAGAACTTCGCCAAGACTCTGGTAGAAGAAGGTCTGGCCACAGTACACGCCTATTCTGCGGAAAAGTCTGGCAATGCAAATGAGTTGTTTGCTGCGGAACAAAGGGCAAAGGATGCTCGCAAGAACCTTTGGCATGACTATGACCCCTCGCAAGAAGAGGATGGCGAAACAACGGCCGGTGCCGCTGCGCCGTCAAATGGCGACGCCGCCCCATCAACAAGGAGGAAGGACTACCGCGATGTCATGGTCACTCACGTCGAAGACGATGGCAGGCTCAGACTGCAGGAGATTGGCTCGGGCACCGCTGCGTTAACATCACTCATGAGCGCGTTCAGCAAGTTCCACCTGAACCCCGCCAACAACTCGGGACTACCTAACCCACCAAAAGCCGGCGAGTTCGTTGCAGCCAAGTTCACCGCTGATGACCAATGGTACCGCGCACGTATACGACGCAACGACCGTGAAGCGAAGAAAGCCGAAGTCGTCTACGTTGACTACGGCAACTCGGAAACCATTCCGTGGACCCGTCTTCGACCCCTTTCCCAGCCCGAATTTCTGCCTTCCAAGTTGAAACCACAAGCTGTTGAGGCGCAGCTCGCATTCGTTCAACTGCCTGGCAACCCAGAGTATCTTGCAGACGCTGTCCGGTTCATCTCACAGGAGACTGCAGACCGTCAGTTGGTTGCCAATGTTGACCAAGTGGAGAAGGACGGCATGCTCTGGGTCACTTTGTATAACCCCGAGCAGAGCAAGACGGGCATTGAGAGCGTCAACGCAGATGTCATTGACGAGGGCCTTGGTATGGTTCCCAAGAAGCTGAGGCCATGGGAGCGTAGTGCAAGCGACGTTCTTGCCGCGTTGAAGAAGAAGCAGGATGTAGCCAAGGAAGAGAGGAGGGGTCAATGGGAGTATGGCGATCTGACTGAAGATGACTAGATGCGTCACCTAGACCAAGCTCAGGAATGTCTGCTTCTGCGTGCTTACTCGCAGAGTACATGGCTTTTGCCTTGTGAAAAAAGATTTATGGAATGTCTTGGACAGTTTCTTGTCGGCTGTGAGCGCTACAGGCCTAATTAGAGAGTGCATCATGATATGATGGACACCTCCTATGTACAAACAATGCTGTGCACCATCGTGCCATTCAACACGTAATGCACGAAAAAAGTTTTTATTTGGCATTTCCTCCGTCTGATGCGATAGTCCCAAGACAATGATCATGTGGTCCAGCGTGGGCTGGCTGCCTAGCATCAGCCGTCGCACTCTACCTTGAGCGGGTGTCTCAGTTGACTTGGAAACCCAGCATGAAACCATGACAAACTAGACGCACCAAAGGGCCAAGGTCAGACGAATCGAAAGCATGAGGGAACGCGTCTGGAGCTTTGTCTAGAAGAACAACGCGCTGCTGTTCCCATGTGAGATGGTTCAAGTTCAAATAGAGTTTCCATATTTGGTCTAGGTCGATGAGATCGGGTCAAGCTAGCCACGTTCAGGGTCCGTAGCGCCCAACCTAGCAGTGGCGCAAGCTCTCAATGTGAAGGTGGCGGGGAACCTCAGCAGGCAACCGCCAAATGTACCCCGACGCTATAACCATGACGACGCCCGTCAAGGCAGTCGCATAGTTTCTCATCCACATGCGCGCCCTGATGTTCTCCCAGTAACGCAATTGCAACACTTGAAATCACTTCTGCGACCGTCTGGAGGTCCCATCCAAGCATCATGGAGACGATAAGTAGGATAGGTCGTCGGCGCTTGACAGAACTCTACTCAACATGTTCAACCACATGTGATTCAATGGTTGAACAAGACTCAAAGGACATTCCCGAGACGTATGCGCTGCATCGCAAGTTCCGCATACAAAAAGACCGTCTCATGACATGGGGCGTTGACTGGAGCGACAAGTCCAAGGGCCAACAGGGCGACATCGACGCCAGCGTAGAACAGGCGGGCTTGACCGAGACCGTCACGAGCGTACTGGGTACCATCAAGGAAATTCTGGATGAAGCAGAGAGCATGCACCCAGCCGCACCTGCTGCGCCAGCAAAGTCATTGTCTGGAGAGAAGAGTAGGCCTGACCCACCCGCGTGGGCGGCAGCCGACCGGTCACGCTATGAAGACCTCATCAAGGACCTTACCACTTCTATTGATAATCTTTACGACCTATCGAGATCATGGAGATCACAAAAGGGAAATGATTGTGCTGCTAGTCCATCGAAAGCCGACTCAGAAGCCCCACGACAAGCCACATCCACATCTGTCTTCCTGTCGCCGGAATATAGTGCATCAGACCTTACACTCATCAACCCGACCACCTTTCCACTCAAATCTCATGCACTGCGCTCGAATCTTCCACCGAAACTGAATCCGTCGGACTTGATCCTACCTGCGGAAGACCCACCACCGTACGAGAGTGTTGGCACGACTTCTATCCGGGTTATCGGTCGACTGCGATCCCGCCAAAGCTCGACGAACCCCTGGAAAACAGAAGGCAGTCGAAACGTGGAAACCTGTGTACTCGTGGAGTATGCAACGTATGATTCCGCCTACCACATTACTGAAATCTCTCCACCAACAGGCCGGCTTGAAGGTCTGCTATCAATCTTGACGAAGCTATCCGCCAATCGATCAGTTTGTGGGACATTAAAGTGCTTGGGATACTTCGAAGATCCAAAGCAGCCACGTTTCGGCTTGGTGTTCAAGCTACCAGAATCCGTCTACTCAGGTCCTATTGACTCCCAGAAATCATTAGATGAGGTGCGGCCTGTCACTCTTCTGAGTGTTCTCCAAACAGGCTCCACGTCGTTGCACAACGCCAACAGCGCGACACCGCCTCTAGAAGACCGCTTCCGTTTGGCGTACACGCTTGCCGTAACCTTCAGCAAGCTTCATGGTGAAAATTTTGTTCACAGAGACGTCAACAGCAGTAATATTCTGGTTTTCAGAAATACCAAACGGCAATCGGCCAACAGCAGGGCTCTGCAATATAACCTTCGTTCCCCCATCATATGTTCCTTTGATCTCTTCTCCGACTACGATATTGAACCAAGCACGAATACATCAACGTTCAACATATATCGACATCCGGACGATCCCAGGTTGGCAAACGGTCAAAATCAACCTTACGATCCACATTTCGATATGTATAGTCTTGGACTCATTCTGCTCGAGGTAGGCTTATGGCAACCACTCGGCGATTTGTGGAAACCAAAGTATACACTCCACGACTTCAAGCAACGAATAGAGGAGGTGTATATCCGTCGCTTGGCATCGAAATGCGGAACGGCGTACATGCAAGTCGTGCGTGATTGCCTCTGGGCTACAAGCGTTCGAGGTAATGACTGGCAGGAACTTGCACAAGTGTACGGCCGAATCATTCTCAGGCTGCAAAGATGCTGCATGCTTGATGAATTCGATTTTGGGTTCGACGTGGATGGTCTACGACCAGAAGTCACTCCAATACAGCAAGCATCCTCTCTCAAACGCAAAAGCGCAAGCCAGCCCCAGATTGCGACTGAAACATCAGAAAGTCCCTCATATCGGAGTGCGAAGCGATGGGCACTGGAGAAGGGCTCCCAGGCGCTTGAGCGCACCAAGTCATTGACTAAAAAGTCACCTGACTCGTCCTTGACGCGAAATCCCTCGAAGAGCTCACAAAACTCTATTCGGAAAAGCATATCAGAGAGTCTTCGTATGATGAGCCCAAGACTGGAGTCATCCGAGGCTATGCAACAGGAGGAGCAACGCGATCTCCTTGAAGAGTCGGGAACTTTGATTGCAACACCGCCTGATTCGCAAGATCAGTGCGACACGTCCCCGTTGTATAAAGAGCGCGTTGTCTCCGCTGCCTCGACGATACAACGAGCATGGCGACAGTCTCGATGTTCAAAATCACACTTGACACTTCAAGATTATAAGAGAAAGATTACGATCATCCAGAAAGCTTGGCGGCAAACAAAGCAGAACCGAACAAATACCGTTGAGGCTCTATTCAGAGACGGCATGCGTCATTGGCCCCAAGCCGCCTTGGGCTACCCAACACCAGAGCCCGAAGCACGTAGTGTGGATGACTTCACTCAGAGCTACGTTACGTCTTCAATACAGATTGAGACTAACGCGGACCCCGTACCTCGTGCAAGGCTGAGAATGTTTCCTGTCTTGTTTCCGCCTCCTATCGTGAAGGAGTGGCACTCGACCATGCTACCGCGACTTGAGCGTCTCATTGAACGCGTCTTCAAGGAATCTGACGAGACGATAAGTATCGATTTGGTTGCCATTGGAGATACCCCAGAGAAGTCACGGCCGACTGTATTTGTGACGTGCAGCAGTGTCGTCAAAATGAAGGCCCTCCTGAGTCGTCGATTCCGGTACGATGAGGCCGTGTATGATCTCAAAGTACGCAGAGGCAAGATTCGTCGGTCCAAGATGAGTCGCCCTTCGCGTCGCACTCGGTATGTCATTTTTTTCATCCTATTTTCTTTGTTCACATTTTGCACCTAACATCTAGTTTTCATGATCTCGACACTAGTTTATTATACTGACACAGTCAGGCCTCCACATCGCTCAATGATGAATACGGAGGATTACAGTGGTGACATGGCTGTCATTAATCCATACCATCAGCAAAAACCTCTCTGCGGCGCATCCATTGGCGCTTTCAACGGCGAGCACTTACCCCCAGTATCTTATGGTGGTGTGATCCTCGTTGATGACGAACCTTTAGGTATGAGTGTGCATCATCTACTTGACGCACCTTCAGATGACGAGAGTGACAGTGGTGATGATGGTCATGGGTATGACAGCCCTCTACCAAATAACGTGACGCTGTCCAGTGCTACAAATAATAACCCGTGGCTAATGGGTATGGGTGCCCAGCCTGGACTACAACTTGACACCATTGAACCAGCTGGCATGTGGGACCTCGAATTATCCGATGATGAGATTGTACTCAGCGATGAAGGAAGCGATTCCTTCGACTTCTCAGGCTCAGAACTTGACGACTCTGACGGAGAATCTGATCAAGAGGCCTTGGCTGATTCAAACCTTTCCCACGTCACAACCGGTGACATCAAGGGCATCGGCCCTGGCGAGGGCGAATACATCCGCATCACCCAACCCGCCATTGATGATGTAGACTCCGACTTCTTTCCCAATGAGGAAGATCGCGACGATGACCACCTCTCCTCCCATGAACTTGGCCATGTTCACGCCTCCTCCGGCATACGCCGCTGGCAGCGCGATGGCATCTTGCATGAAATCGACTGGGCACTCCTCAAAATCAACGAAGACCGTCTCCAACCTTATAACATCTGCCAGGGCGGTCGGAGATTTTGCATAGGCCCCCCAAAACCTGACCAGAAAGAGATTTCAGCACAAATCCATCAACCCGTTGCGCGCCGCCACTACACCGCAGACGAAGACGAGTATCCCAACGGCGTCGCTAGTGCAGACAGCCTCGCGGGACTGAATGTACACTGCTTTGGCCGCACGACTGGTCTCCAAGGTGGGATGATTTCTTCCACCATGAGCGCTGTGCGCATCTACCGCCGCAAAACCTTTTCACGTTCCTGGTCCGTGTTTGGCGGCTTCGGCGTCGGCGGCGACAGCGGTGCCTGGATTGTTCAAAACGGGACCCATCGTGTTGTCGGGCACGTGCTAGCCTGGTGTCAAAGAAACCACATAGCCTACCTATGTCCCATGCAAGTTCTACTCGAAGACATCAAACGCACCCTAGGCGCAAAACGCATATACCTGCCCGGATCGACAGAGCAAGCGCTTTCCACCCCGGAGAGAAATACACAAGCCCTTGAATCCACGGAGCACATGGATGTTGAGAGTCTCGAACGTGGTGTCCAAGGCCTGGGTATCGTGGACTCGGCGGTCGATATGACGTCTTCCTTTTCCAAGTCTGCGGAACCGAGGTCTCCACCAAGTAGCATGTGGATTGGGGGCGGGGGTGGCGACGCCGAGTGTGAGAAGGAAAACCTTACGGGTTTGAGAAGTCGGATTATGAATATTAACAAGGAAAGGATTGAGGTTGTTGCTGCTGTGCCTTAGATGGGTGTGTTGGCTTGGATCTGGATGCCTGGATAGGTATGTTGGGAGGATTGGAGTGTGGGACTGGGATACCCTCTTGTCTTATTGTATATGATTCAGAACATAAATACGCGCGCTCTCTCTCTCTCTGTATATTCGTGTTTATCCGCACCGTTGTGGTTTATGACTTTTAAATCAACCTTTTGCCATAGAACATGAGGGCATCTTAATCCGATTTGGCGATTTCAAATAGTGCTCTTGTACAGGCACGGGTCTGTGATGGAGATTATGCACGTTAATATATTCTGGACATATCATTGCTATGCTTTAAATGTTTTCTTCTTTTATTTTCAATAAATGCGGGAAGGTTCAGCGTTTGGCTTTAGAGATGAGACTTCGTGACTAGAGCTCCGTGGGGAACAAGTACCTAGCCATGCAGGCTAATTGGTCGTCTCATCCCTAATGGCTATTAACTCGCTAGCTACCTAATGTTTTAGACGTAGCGTTTCCCTTGGTTCGCCAACATACTCTTGCCAACAATTTCAATGATGCTTATGCAAGACAGGAGGTTCTCAGCTTCTGTATATTTAACATGTGCTCGCCAACAGCACGCTTGCAATCTCCTTACTGCTAGCCTGAATCGTAACCCACAGCCACCAACATGCACGGTTCTGTAAACACCAAGTGAGTCGCTACTGTGTGATGGAAATGGCAAAAGCACGTGCTTTCAATACAGGTTTCCAAGGTTCCAGACGCAGTTCGCGCTTGACCATGTGAAAGGGCGCTCCGGGTAGGTAGCGTTAGCGCAGCAAACCAGGGGTAGACTCTCGCTAGCATCTTTTTTGGACACTACTATAACGATGATGCACTCGCGGTAAACGACGGACTTGAATACTGTATCGTATAATGCAGTGTGTCAGTCAAGATCCAGTATCAATCAGGGGCTATACGATGGACTGTTTGGTCACTTGTCGACACCAGAAGCCCGGCTGGCTGACTGGAGATGACGGCGTTCCGTAGACGCAAAGTGTGGAGATGATACGGTAGTGTCTTGATAGATCTATCACAGGTAGGTATTGTGCAGTTCATCGACACCCTTCAGATGATTGAATATCATTCGACACGCTCCAACTCCCAATGACCCGAATGCAAGCTGCTGAGCATAGCATGGATCTAAAAGAGCAACAGCATGCGGATTAGGTTGTTAGTGGCCAATGGAGGCTGACGGACGGTCCCACGTCCACAGTTCCCATCTAGGAGCTATGTGGATACGGCAAGCCATCAATAGCGTCGGACGAGATGAGCATCGCGTGGGCCACGAGTGCGCCAAGAAGTGCCCAGCAACTAGGAAAGCTTGCCCTAGAGCGAACAGGTCCAAGACATGGACTTTGTGGCGTACTTCATATCTGGGCACGGAGAAAGTCTCCTGTTCTTGGATTCTTTGCTGCAAGCGACTCTAATCCTGTTCCTCGCCCCAATTCATGCCACATTTAGACACACATTCCTGGACAGATCAGATGCACGATCATGAAATCCTCAGGGTGGGTAGTCGAAGAACTTCAGAACTCCTGTTTAAACATCCGTGTGATACTCTGAGATCCAACTACGGCTGTGTGGCTTCGCTTAGGGCGGATTAATCGAAGCCTGATCAAACTATCAGCAGAGTGACAAGCTCCAAGATGCATTGCGGCCGTGCTTTGTGCAGACGCTACGCCCTCACCATGAACACGAACGGACAAGCGATTGAGACTCTGGCTCAGGGGAATGTCTGGGAGCAGTCCGAGAAATGTATATGAGGCCTATTGGCTTGCTCCATTTATTCTTCATCCTCAGTCATTTCTTCGACCGGACCATTGAACAATTCTCGCACTCTAAGTGGCGACCACACTCTTTTGAATAATTTCGACACTGTCATTCGTTATATTTAATACCTAATTTCTCAAAACCAACCGTCAACATGAAGTACGCTTTGGTATTTGCCGCTACCGCAGCTGCCTCTTACGATGCCTATGGCTCGTACCCTGTCAAATGCACCAGCGCCGTCATGAAGCCTTCCACCACACCCGAGCCCGTCGGCTACACCACCATCCACCCCGGATATGGTAAACAGCCCGTTACTGTCACTTCTCAGCACCAGCCCTATCCTACCTGCGTCTCTGCTGGCTACGGCGGCAAGGAGTGCGGTAAGTGGGAGGATGACATGTATGTCAGCACCACCATCAAGGACTACGACCAAAAGGTCATCACGGTCACCGAGGTTACTCAGCCAGTGACTGTATATCACACCAAGTACACCATCACCCACTCCGCCACTGGAAAGATGGGTTACCCCACTGCTAGCGCGGGATATGCCCTTCCATCGGGCATTTCAAACAAAACAGTGTCTGCTGGCTGTTGGTATGAGCTCTATGAGAAGGTTGAGGAGGTTCCCTACAACAAGCTTGGTCGTCACGCCATGGCCGGATACCCCGGCTCTGGCCTGTATCCCGAGGGTGACAAGAAACAGCCTGTCTATGTCAAAGAGTACAAGGGCGGCAAGTGGTCCGAGTACGAGCACGTATACTCCTATGGTATACCCAAGGAGGAGGTCACCACCTATGGCAAGCCCGGTGTGTATACCGTCCCGGCAAAGACCGTCATTGTAGACTACCCGGTTGCCCACCCGGCGGAGGCGACAAAGACTGCCAAAGCTGGGGAGACCTGCACATACGGCGTACAGTACATTGATGCCAAAAGGACTGGCTATGTCACGGGCGCGTACGGTGCGTACGAGACCAAGGTTATCGATGGCGAGCCTGTGACCGAGACCGTGGTCAAATATACCACCGTATACCTCACTTCCACTGGCAAGGTCATGGTTGCTGAGCCTACCACCACTGTCTATGACCACGACACCATGGTTGCTTACCCCACTGCCGATTCCTACGCTCCAGGTGTTTACAAGCACGAGGCTAAGACCATCACTGTGACCAAGGGTGGCGAGGCATATACCTGCAGCTATGAGCAAGCAAAGAAATACTCTGCCACTCAGCACAACGACAAATACCCGGCCTACCCGGCCGCAACCCCTGCCAAGAGTGACAAAGACGACCACAAGCCCAGTGCCATTCCTAGCAAGCCCACTGCTGGTGACCATTACCCCGTGTACCCCACGTACCCAGCCAAGAGCGACGCCTCATACAAGCACGAATACCCAGCTTCCTCCATCCCTATTGTCCACTCCAAGAGCCACGAAACCTCCCATCCCCACCCAGCCCCAACTCCCGTCGACGGCGGCAAATACCCGCACAGCGAGTACCCCGCCAAATCAACTTCCTCATCTTGCCCATCCTCCACCCCAGTGAAGCCTTCTGTCTACACTCCTGTTCACGGACACCCTGAGCCTTCGCCATCCGTCCCTGCTCACGGCGATAAGTACCCGGCTCATTCTGCTCCCGCTCCCGTTCCCGCAAAGTCTTCTGCTGCTTACCCCGTCTACCCTGCTGAGCCATACCACGCTCAGCCGACGCCCGTCAAGCCCTCAGCCATCTACCCTGCTGAGCCGTACCACGCTCAACCGACGCCAGTGAAGCCTTCCGCCATGTATCCCGCTGAGCCATACAAGGCTGGACCCGGATACATCAGGCGCGGCAGCATCTTGGAGCGCCGTGCTCGCGCTTTGTAGGGTATCTATTCTCTATTCATGTAAATATTTCGATAATGAGGTTTTTCCTATGTACTAACTGCTTGGGGGAGGAAGAGTGACACTTATAACGTCCAGTGTAGAGTAAATTGTTGGAAATTTTGTGCTCCATGTTTTTCTTTTCCGAGAAAAAGTGCTGGATTTCATGAGGCGGGAATTGTTGCACTAGTATCAGGGCTCGAGGTAATTACAGCTACTAATGTGCGCTTGTGATAGTGTGATCCTTTGTCAGTCGTGGCCAAAAGCATCATCACTATCCATAATTACAATTCTAAAAATGAATATTCTCTTCTTTCTACGCAGATTTATGTAATTTTTTTAATGGCAATTCACGTTATAGTTCCTCATATGGCTGGGACGTACACTGAAGCTACAATAAATCCCAGTCAACTGTTATCAGGGGAAGAATACTGAGCACACTCAAACAGTGATGTTATAAACACGATATAGCCATCTAGAGAAAACATACCCACTTCTCCCACACAACTCAACAAATCCTAAACTCCCACTACACGAACTGACATTCTCCCCCTCCAAAACAGAAAAGCAACTTTTCATCTACCTCCCACACCCCCTAGTCGCACAAACCGTAGTCTCATGAATATACCTAATCATGCCCGCCTCCACCCGTACCAGATTACAACTCGGCGTCCCCTCGGGCCTCGTCGCATCGATAAACGGAAAATCATTGAGGATGCCGACGGCGCCCACCTCCTCATCAATCACATAGCGTCGATTTCCGACCCCCTTGAACGGCTTTGGAAACTCGGGCATGTAGCACGTGTTCCCCGTTGCATTGCGTTCGCCCGTGTACGCGCCGCCTTCGAGCCGGGCGCAGGGTGTGCCGTAGGGAACGGGGACGGAGCCGTTGGCCCAGCTATCGAGGTAGGCGTCTGCTGCTGCGCGGATAGTGGTACGGGAGTCGCGGTTGGAAGGGGGGATTGGGCCCCAGGATTCTGATTGGGACCAGTGGAGGTGCGAAGTCGCGTTGAAGATCCAATCGCCCGTGTCTGCGATGACGGATTGTAGGGAGGTTACGGTGGCGGGGGTGGTGGGGGAGATGCGAAGAAGGGTGTCGATGACGTAGGGGTGTGGGTTGGTGGCGGATGTGATTTCGGTGAAGATGGAACAGGTGGTTGTGTCTAGGAGACTGCGGCTGAGATCGATAATGATGGATTGAGTTAAGATTCCCTTGCTAGCGTTGAGGGCGACGTCGTTCTCTGTGTAGGTCATGTTGGCTGTATGCGGTAGTAGATTTGGGCTTCCGGAGGCTTGGGCGCGCAGATATGTAGATGCAATGTCTTGGAGTGTAGTGCGTTCACAAAGAGCCATAACTTGCGCAGTGAGGCTCAAAGACACCAAAGTGCATGAGGTTGAGGTCGACAACAACATATCTGCTTACACTGGTGTTGGAAATGACTAAGGAATATCGAGACAAAATGACATTATCGTCTGTAAATATGGTCAAAAGAATCACACACAGACTGTGATCGAAGCGAACCGGCAATGCTGTACCATGTGGGGCCACGGTGAGTTCTCCCAGGTCTTTGAACCCGCACTCTAAATTAATGAGCCGTTGATTATACCCGAATCCCCTACATTGCTGACTCTTCGCGTAGAAGTCACCAGAACGCCCAAGTTCCCCATTCATCAAGGTAGTGGTCGGCGTAGGGGTAATGTGCTTCTTCGACAGCAATCTGGCCAGGCTTGTGAGTTTTTATTGTAAATCTTGCGTAACGTGGGCGAAAGTTCCGAAGATTGATCGTCTAGGGAGATATACGAATTCGCCATATGCAGTAAGCTCTTGTGTCGGCGTACTGATGCTTGTATGCTGCTTGTCGATGCTAGTATTCGATGACTCGTGCAAAGGTCAAATGTAGCTTTCGTCCTGAACGTTTACTAGAGAGTGCACAGGCGCAAAGTCTACTCGCCACCAATGCATCATGCACATTTCTTGAGAACAGGATCGACTATTAGCGAGAGCTCTCTCGTTATAAATCGATGCGGTGCAAAGCATTGCCATTCCAACCTAGCCATCCCATCTCATCGTTTGAGCTCAGCAAATCGTCTCGCCAACTCATTTACATCCGGGATCTTCCCGCCCGGTCCTACGTCTTTGGTCGTTTCTTTCTTCGGCTCGATCTTGGCCACCTTATCCTTTGCTCCTGGTAACTTCAACCTCGGTGCGACGTTATCCGTGCTCGGGCTCGGTGGGACAACGCGTAAGGGACTCTGCGGACCCATCTTCTTAGGTGTATTCGCTTGTGCCAAGGCTTCCCTCTCTTCCTCACCCTTGTCTGCGTCACTTTGCACACCATCTGCTAGCTCGGCTACCCCACTAGAAGGCTCATCGTCGTTATCCTCGCCATCGTTGGAGTCATCAGATGGCTTACTCGCGCCGTAAGAAACGCCATAGAAACGAGCAATCTCCGTGAGATACGCCTCAACCAACGCTTCACTTGGGGTCTCAACCTTTAGTTTCTTCACCACGCGCTCCGCCACACCCTCGCCCTCCATACTCGCCAGCGCGACGTCCTTGCCAAATTTGTCTACCAGCAAGGCGCGCACTGTATGTAGTTCCTTGACCTCTGTCCTCGGCGCTGCATATATGATACTCCGGACCGCCTCCTCCAGCGCCGGATCCAGCGTGGTACCTACCGCACCTGCCCCTGCCGCCGAAGACGATGGACTCGACACGTGATTCTCCAGCAATTGCGAGCGTGCCAGCAACAGCTCACAATAAAGTTCCAGTATTTCGTGCAGTTCAGTGGTGATATCGGAGCGGATGATGTTTTCGACGCGGATTCGTGCGGATTGCACTTTGCCAGCCTCGATGAGCTGGGCCATTTCTCGACGTTGTTGTTTGACTTTTGCGCTGTCTTTTTGCTGGACCATGCGCAGGCGCGATATCGAGAGTTTCAGCTGCACTTTGAGCTTGTTCTGTCGAGGTTTGTTTAGCATTCAATTCGGGGGGGGGAGGTTCAGTTACTCCTCGCCCCTCTTGGCACTTCTTCGCCGACTACTTTACGTACAACTAGTGATAGTGCGGGCGCCATTGTAGGCCGTGTATGATTTATGGAAGTATGGTGTTGCTGCTTATGTGAATGATCATGTTGGGGTAACGTTGACGTCGCGCGGGGGACCTCAATGTTTGGGGACGCGGCGGGAGATGGTGAACCTGACCGGCGGGGAGCGTTAGTGGGGTTGTTGTGGCTGTGCACGCTAGCATCTACCATCCTGCTAGATATACACTATGCGAATCCGTGGGGTGACCATTCACTTGACTACAGGTGTAGTGAAATAGACGTTGCACCCCTTTTAGAGCCGTGAAGCGAGGCCAAATTCATAGTCATATTGAGTTGAATACTTCCATTACGCCTAACACTCCTGCAGATAGCTAGTGTTGTACTACTATCTTTATATTCCTGAACATTATATAAGACAGTATGGATCTACCCAGCCCAGGCGTCTTGACTGTATATTGGTAGTTTGGGTATGGAGGATAGGCTTACTGCGGCGAGTACAGTGAGTACTTCCAAGTCACCGTAATAGACAATCGCAGCACTGCCATTCGAAAAGAAGCGACCAGAGACGGGAGGCGAGTATTTTCGCGCCTGTGGAAAGGCTTTGAGTATGGGTAGGACATTGCTGTAGAGTGGCCATAGTCTGCTCGACGGAGTATGTTTGGATAAGGGGTGTGCCTTATGCTACCGAAGAGCTTGACGTTGTCTTGGAGGTGCGTTGCGCATGTTGTTCCATGTAGCGAGTCAGTCGTCAGTGACTAGGTATGCAAGGCTTAGAAGATCTATTGTTTCGATCATAGCGCCCCTCTACAAGGCCTGTACGCCTTTGAAGAACTTATTCTGCATCAAATCCGGATTAAGCTTGACCAGCTCCCTCATCTTCTCAACCTGCTGTTTCTTCGTCAACCCTTTGTCCTCCACCTCCTGCTTCCACGCTACCAGTACCTCCTTAAGCATTCGACTCCCATTCTCCACTTCGTCTCTGCTCGCCTGCTCAAAACCCTCTTCATGCTTGCCTGCGAAATCTTCCAATTCATCTGCCTTCCGCTTCGCCATGTTGATCACCTTCTGTGGGAAACGGACAAGCTCCGCGACGTGAATGCCAAAGGATTGATCCGAGAAACCGGGCTCGACTTTGTAGAGAAGCGTGACTTCACGTTTCTTGTGGATCTCGGATCCCTCTTCCACTGTGCCTTCGGAGATGTGTGCTACGACATGTAGATTCTGCACCTGTGGATACGAATCGACTAGTGCAGTGAGCTCGTGGAAATGCGTTGCGAAGAGCGCAAAGGCACCAATTTCTTTGACGATATATTCGGAGATTGCCCATGCCAGGCCGAAACCGTCGTACGTGCTTGTGCCGCGACCTAGTTCGTCGATGATGATGAGTGATTCCCGAGTTGCAGATTTGAGGATATTGGCCGTCTCCAGCATTTCGGCCATGAAGGTTGAGACACCCTTGATCTGACTGTCGCTAGCTCCAACTCGCGCAAGTATGCAGTCGAAGATGGTGAGCTCGGCTTCCGAACAGGGTACAAAGCACCCTATCTGGGCCATGAGGGCGATGACGCCAATTTGCCGGATGTATGTCGATTTACCACCCATGTTCGGCCCCGTAATAATCAGGAACTCACTTTCATCGCGCACCAGAGCAACATCGTTGGTGATGAAGGACACATCGTCTTGCATCTCCAAGCATGGATGGCGAGCCTCCTTCAGAATCGTGTTACCGGTACCCCGTGGATGCATCCTAGGCCTAGTGTACGATGTTGGCGCATGCACGGATACATGTGCAAAGGAAACAATCACGTCGAGATGTGCTAGAACAGCGGCCAGCTTCTCGAGAACGGGAACGTAGGATGATGCGACTGAAACAACCTCATTGACCAGGCCAGTTTGCGTGCGATTGTAGGTGTCGGACAATTGATCGAACTCTCTCCTTTTTTCTTGGAGTCTCGATGTCGTGAAGTACACTCCGTTCTTTTGCGTGGAGATTTCCTTGTACTGTTTCTTCTGTCGAATGCAACCAGCTTCATTCCGCGTGAGTCTGAAGCACCAACCATGCTGCTTGTGATTTTCAAGGAACAGCTTCTTCTCGGTGTCTTGATCAAGATCATTGCCCACGTTCATGTGTTCAGACTCCATATCGCGCTTCAACCGGTCGAGACGTTTCCGTATTGTCTTCAACGCTTCATCATACTCGGGTTTGATGATGAATTCGTGATTGTCGAGCGCCTCGAGGTCAACGGTCGTCTCCACCATATTTTGAAGGCCAGCGAATGCGTTGGCGTACTGACGCAGCTTGTCAATGTATTCGGCATCAAGAGGCTCTTTGTATTTCTCGTCCATGACGGCTTCGAGAGAACTGAGGAAGCCTGGTAATCGGATGACGACCTGATATGCGCGTACAACGTCTTCCAAGTTTGCCGCCTTGCGCTGAAACTTCTTGGCTAGCCTGTATAGGTCAGGTATTGACCGCAGGTGCTCCTCTTGCATGGTCTGCCGCAGCTCCGTGTCTTCAACGAATGCCTCTACTAATTGCTGCCGTCTCTCGATATCTTTTACATTCATCAGGGGTTGCTTAAGCCACTGGGAGAGGAGCCTGCTACCAGTGGGTGTCTTGCAGTGGTTCAGGAGTCCATACAAGCTCATATTCTTGGCGCCATCACGGGGTCCTGGCATCAGGTTCAATGCCTTTAATGCTGCAGCGTCCAATTTCATATACTGTGTCAAATCGTGCTGATATAGTTGATACTGGCCGAAGTTAGAGGAGTCGGACATGACACCCAAATACTTGATCAGGCAAGCCGCTGCCCCCATTGCTAACTTCAAGTCGGTCGATGGCAACGTTGTGACTGCTCGCTCATCTTTCAACAGCCGTGGTAGATCTTGCTCGATGTCTTTGGTACCAAAGTCTGCCGGTGAACGCTCTGCAACAGCACATCCACAGTTGTCAGCAATCGTTCGCAGCTTCGAAAGCTCCACGTCCTTTTTGCTGGTATCAATTTGTATAAGACATTCCTTGACTCCGAGCTGAATCAGGAGAGATTCGAAATTGGAGTATAGGTCGTTGTCGAGGAATTCTGTAACACCCAACTCTCGTACACTGGCATCCGCGAAACAGATGCCCACGTTCCTCGCCTCGGAAGTCTTGGTTGACACCTTGACTGCCAATATGATGGGCGCATTCTCGATCTGACCGCCCAAATCATCCTCTAGGTCCTGCAGGTTGCCTGGTGACGCCTGCTTGACCATGATCCAATCCATGCGCTTTGCTGACGACTGCCAGATCTCGATTCGTTTGCTGAGGCGGAAGAGGGCGTCGCGTAGAAAGCTACGAAAGACGGTCACGGTCATTGTCACTGACTCGAGACCGGGCTCTCTGCCTAAACGGCGTATAACAGCGGTAGTTTTGTATACCTGTGATGGGCTGTGTCAGTGCCTGTCTTTTCATCTCTCTCCGTGTGTTGGCCGGCCGGCCCTTTTTTCTAACCTACCGTATTCGCGATGAAGACGGCATCCCCTCCATGGGCACTGTAGTAGTCGCCACGGTCGAATATGCGTATTGTATCGGTATCCTTCTCAGGCAAGTTGCGAAAGAACTTGCAGAACCCCGACTCGTCCTCCTCACGCATCTCTGGCCGTGACCCCATCTTGGCTCAGTAACTTCACAAGCAAGGAAGGAAGTCGAGTTTAAGTCTTCTGTCGAGAACTGACTTGTAATGTGTAACATGGAACTAGGTGGCCTTGAGTGGCGGTGTCAGTTTCATACTTGTCCACCCAAATGTTGTCCCGGACGTTATTTCACTCGGGGCGTCGCGTCCACAGACGCGTCGCACTCACAACTCGCGCTAGTGCCTATCGATAAGAAACTGATCCACCCATACCTAATTGAGTAAGGAAGTTAGCACACAGTCGGCACATTGGGAAACAAGATAGATGTATGTGCAACACCACATTGCTTTAGTGGTGATTCGTGGGATGCTGCCTGTGGATAACGTTAGCAGGTCAAGGTAGAAGACAGACTTTCAGTGTGAGGGTCGTGTCATTTTGTCACCAAGCATATTACGGACTGCGGCGGTAGGAGCAGTGCACCTTCCACATGTACCGGTAGCGATGCCCCGCATCAACGTCACTGTCTCCTTCATCAGCCTCTCTGATGTAGAAGTTCGCATCTCTTATAACAATCCACTCCAGACTTTTCAATTGCCTACAATTATGACATTTGCGATTTCCGAAGCCCGCAAGCGCTTTCCCGCGTTACAACAAGACCAGGTGTTTCTGGACAATGCCGGAGGCAGCCAGACGTTGGGAGATGTAGTCGATTCGTAGGTCTCTATTCAATCCATCGCTCAGGGGGACATTCTAAGCCTTTGAAGCATCACACAATATTTGTCCAAGACCAATGTTCAGCTCGGTGCATCGTATCACACCGGCTCGATATCAAACACGAAATACGAAGAAGGCTATCAGGCTGCTGCAAAGTACATCAACGCCGGGCGTGATGAGATTGGTAAGGACATAATAGCTGAGAAACTGCAACAGCCCTGACGGAACAAGTACTCGGGGGCTCCACTACCCAGCTATTCATGAACCTTGCGGGAGCCCTTCAACTGCAGGCAGGAGACGAGATCATCCTTACCAAGATGGAGCATGAGACGAATGTGAAGCCTTGGCTGTTCATGGCTGAACGTTTGAATCTTGTCGTCAAGTGGTGGGTGTCTTCCAGGGAAGATGGGCTCAAGCTCACACCAGAAAACCTAAAGCCACTCCTATCCTCCAAGGTCAAGTTTGTTGCATGCACGCACGTGTCCAATATTCTTGGTACCATCCATGATGTCAAAGCAATTGCAGATGCGGCCCATGAGGTCGGTGCGCTCTTATGTGTTGACGGCGTGAGCTTCGCGCCACATCGAAAGGTTGACGTGAAGGCTTTCGGCGTGGACTTTTATTCGTTCTCGTGGTACAAGGTACGAACGGTTCGTGTTAGCAGAGTTATATCCACTGACGACCAAAGGTCTATGGCCCGCATATTGCTGTCTTGTATGCCAGTAATGCTGCTCAAAGACATGTGAAACCCATGGCACACTACTTCAATCCAACAAAGACGCTTGAAGACAAGCTCGGCTTTGCATCCTCCAACTACGAATGCACGCAATCACTGCCTTGCATAGCCAGCTATCTTGACGGCGCATTTGACGCGATTTCAAAGCACGAAGGCAAGCTCCAGAAGATTCTGCTCGACTTCTTGAACACGAGATCGGATGTGACGGTGCTCGGCTCCACGAGCAGCGATTCCACAGTCCGTGTACCAACCGTTTCGTTTGTGGTGGCCGGGAAAAATTCGAGGCAGATCGTAGAGGAGGTTGAAAAGATGTCGAATTACGGGATCCGATGGGGCCATTTTTACTCGAAGCGATTGTGCGACGAGGTCCTTGAATTAGACGCCGAGGGTGTGACTAGAGTGAGCATGGTGCATTACAACACGGAAGATGAGATTCGAGGCCTAGTAGACGTGCTATCCAAGGTCTTGCCATGATAATTAGCTATACGTAACGGCATGGACAAAAAACCGCACTCATGCCAGAGAACCAAATCTTACGTGCGTGACTATTCGCCCGAAGCAGGCCAACAACACACGATGTGTATGTCATCCACTTGGCCAATCTCCCACACGTCAATCATGGAGCCGATGGGACGCTCTTGGAAAACCCTTATTTAGCCGCATCATCTGATCGTACTAGCACAGGACCTACAAGTGCAGAATGTGTAGGCAGCGATCCGCCCTCATACCGGTAGCGGCATTTTCTATCCCCTCACCGACTAATCGCCCGTCCTTTTTAGCCCAGCGTACCTGGATTGATATCGAATCTACCCTGACCCCATGATAAACGCTCGCCCTTGGCACACCGCTTATGCAAAGGATATCGCGAGACTGGGCACTGGGCACGTGAGGATGGTAGTGCATCGTTCGGTGCAAGTCTACCTCTCTCTGTCTCATCCGGGATATACCGGTACCGGTACAGGGGCTGCACCAGCCCCGTAGAGGGCTGGCGCGGCCCGCCGACTGTCAGCCTATCTCTCCGATACCAAAATCGTATTGTAAATCTACGCTAGCAGGGGCGCGGAGAATTAATAGCCGGGTTAAGTATTCTAAGCTTGGGTTTGTGAATGGTCAGATTTTGATGCTTGGTAATATAGAGAAACATGTGTGATTTGGGGTCGAGTGCGGGAATACTTGTGTAGAAGGGGGAAAAGGTGGTGATGGCAGTTGGTCGGGCAGGGCATGTGTGAACTATCTTCCCTGGCTTTGCTTGTGCCGAGTAATACCGTACGTGCTGGGAAGAACGACAGTACTCGAGAATATTTACGCCTAATTGATTACATTATCAACTTTACCGGTTTTGAGAACGGTGCTTGCAGGTTCGAGATTGGGAATCCGAACAAAACAATGTGTGGATACTTGTGGACCGACGGCATTCGATAGGTTAGGAACTACCCATCCCATCCACAAACAACGCATTCACCTTTATCCCATCGGATATGGACGTTTTCGTCTTGCCCTAGTAACAGCAGACACACGCTCTCTGTGTAGCCTGCTTGCTCTTTTCCACAGAGAAGCTCATCGTAATGTAGAGAGGAGGTGTAGTTATACCTACGCACCAAGAGGAACACATGTACTCAACCCCCTCTTTCCACCACCACATTCCCCTTCCATCCAGCCTACCCCCTTTTATCCCTAAGGAGTCCTATGCTCTATCACCTTCAAACCACAGTGATATCATACCTTACCAAACCATACTATACTCCCCACCCCAGTCCCCGGTCCCCAATCCCTCCTCCCCACCCCACCCCGCCGATCTCCCCCCCTCCCCCCTCGCACAAACACCTGCTCCACAATCCATCCCTGCACACACGTTCCAACCCCATCTTACGGCCGCAAGCCCACCCTCTCCGTCCGAAACGCAAACCTCCACCCCATTCACCACCTCCCTTGGCCACCTCCTCCGTCCGAAAAAAAAACATCACGGCGTGAGCGCAGGGCAGGGCAGGGTACCAAAGCCCAGAGAATGGATCATGTCAGCACGGGAAGAGGGAGATTGGGCAAGTAGTCTTGTCGGATGTTTGCGGGTAGAGTGCTTCTGGATGGCTTTGTTTTGCGGTGATGGGGGAGGGGAGGGAACGGGGACGGGGTTAAGTGTGATGGCAGGGCGCGATATCTCCGGTGGAAAAAGGGAATTCGTTTTTTGGTATTGGGGCCAGGGTTGGATGAGTCTTGTGCAGAGGATGAGAAATGGTGGTACGGGAGTTGGGGGGAAGGGGAGGCGTGGTATTAAATGCGTGTGTTTCTCTCTTCATTTTTCAAATGTAGGATTGTCTTGATTCAAAGCAGTAAACCTTTTGTTTGGTCTAACGTTTCTGGTTTCAAACATCTACTGGTTTATACATCTATACTACTTACCACAATGATGCGCACTCCCGCTCTCTCTGGAGCCCTGCTTGCGACGAGCCCGCTCATCTTTGGGACGCTGGCTCGCTCCGCATCCATTCTGTTTACCGATGCCACAATTGTAACGTTCAATGACGAGACCCGCAAAACGCAGATTCTCGAAAATGCATCTCTTCTGGTGGAAAACGACAGCATCACGGGCATCTACGATAGCCCTCCCGCCCACGGCCACGACGTCGAGGTTGTGAATGCCAGCGGCAAGATCATCACGCCTGGATTCATCGACACACATCACCACATGTCGCAGAGTGTCATGAAGACCTTGGCCTCCAACAGCACGTTTGTCGAGTACTTCCAACGCTATGGCGATTTCAGTGCTCTGACCCAGGCGATTACACCAGAGGCAAAGTATCTCAGTTCCATGATGGGCGCCTTTGAGCTCCTGGCTGCGGGTACGACGACGGTGCTGGATCATGCACAGGGTAGTGCGTCCTTTGCCAGTGCCGAAGCCATTCTCAATGCCACACTCGACTCTGGTCTGCGCAACATGCATGCCTTTTCCGTGCGCGACAATATCCCCAACTACACCGTGGCCGATCAAATGGCCACGCTTCGCACCTTTTCGCAGGATCCCCGTGTGCTGGCAAACCCTCTGGTGGAAATGGGCCTGGCATACGACTTCTTCGAGGGGAGCCCAGAAAACGTCACCAGAGGGCTTTGGGACATTGTAAAATCCGGTAACCTGTCCGTCATCACCACCCACTTTATCTCTGGGACATGGAGGATCGCTGGCAACCCTCCGACATTCTTAGACTCGCTGGGCTGGCTCGACTCGTCCGTTCCCGTAGTCTTCGCACACGGAACCTACATCAATGAGACTGACAAGGAGATTCTACGTGCCAAGGGGCACTACATTTCCATTGCTGTCGAGTCAGAGATGCATTTCGGACATACCATTCCCTTTGCCGACGAGATTCAGGACCAGGGTGCTCTAGCTGCGGACACACACTTTACGTTTGAAGGCAGCATGATCTCTGCCGCGCGACTGTGGCTGCAGCACACACGCTTGAAGTACTACACCAAACTCATCAACTCGAACCAAGTGCCCGGTACGAGCCCCATGTCCGTAGACCAGGCGTTTTACCTTGCGACGCGAGCAGGTGCATTGGCTCTGCGCCGTCCTGATCTCGGGGTGTTGCGTGCCGGGGCCAAGGCCGACCTTGTCGTCTTTGATGGCGACAGTCCCAACATGGTAGGCTGGAAGGATCCTGTTGCTGCCGTCATCTTGCACTCTAGTATCGCAGACGTCGAGGCCGTGCTGGTTGATGGTAACTGGGTGAAGCGCGATAGAAAGCTGACCTACAAGGGGCATGATGATATCAAGAGGCGGTTCAAGGAGGCAGCCAAGGTCGTCCAGCAGAGCTTTGCTGAAATGCAGTGGCCCCCTCTTGAGGGACTGTTCCTCAATGGAACGCAGATTGGCCAGACTCAGAGGATGGATGTTCTTCCAGGAGAGGGTACGGGGTATTAAGAGGATCATGTCTGTTTATGATGGTAGTCAGTGGGAGGATTGTACATGGTAGGGTAATGTAGTAGAGTACGCTGTACGCTGTACGTATGATATGATGCCAGTTTCGATGTCTTCTAGTACCGTTTCCGAGAGATTGTGTCTGGTATCCCAGTGATGCTCGTGCTCGTACAAAAAGCAGAGAATCGCAGAAGCCAAGCCAAAAAGTAACACGGTGGCTTCTTGTTGTCGTGGCACCTCTTGCGGGTCGAGGAGTATGAAACTCTATTGCCTCTACGAAGTCGAAACAAGGAAATGCGAAATGCGAAGCTTGGAAGGATGGTCAGCACCAGTCTAGTTCGACTGCCGAGGCGAGGGACAGTTGGCGTGTTATACGTGGATGTTGGTCACAATGGTTGTTGATGCTGAATGCACGATTAGATCATGCAGCACTTGCATACATCCCGTGGTGAGTATGAAGAACCATGATGAAAAGGGACTGAATTGGCTTGGGGCCAACCAGTGCTTGTTGTGTTGTTGTGGCTCGGTATAGATGCTACTCTAGATTCGATCGTCAGCAGTTGCGGGCCCTGGTCTTCTGTTGAGAAAAAAAAAAGAAACAAGAGAGGCCGCGTCATAGGCAGAACTTTCAGGGCAGCCCTGGCAGGGTGGAGCGCAAGCGTTTCCCTTTGTGTCCTTGTGCTGGGTAGTCCTGCAAGCTGTGTTGGGCGGGGGTGGACAAAGTGGGAATCGTGGAATGGGCTTACTAGTCGTACTCTAGAGTAGAGTAGCTGGCGTTTTGGGTGTGGAGGCATCATCCTCCTTGACCTGCCGAATGTGTGAATGAAGAGCGTAGTACTATACTAGAGCTAGGGACTGAAATGGGTAGGAATGGTTACTCTGCTTGTTCCTTGCACCGCCGCAAGTCGCAGGGGAGTGAGTGTGGAGTGTGGTTGATGGAGACCTGATGGCCCTTGTCTTAACGCGCTCGAGGGATT